GAGAAGCAGCTTCTGTCTCTGTACATCGTCTACACGGTGGGCTACGCACTCTCCTTCTCCGCTCTGGTCATAGCTTCGGCCATCCTGCTAGGCTTCAGGTAAGGGGCCCCGGACCTCGGGAGGGGGCTGCTGCTTCATGGTCTGTCCCCCAAATGAAGAAGTGACTGTACCAAACCAGACTCGCCCCAGGGCAGCCCTCCTCCTTGGCTTGTTATTCGTGGAAGATCAAGTTTCAAACACGCGGTACAACATAGGTACAGGCTATGTTAATGCATGCATAGAGTACTGCAACACCCTGCCCCCGAATCCTAACAGCGGGCGGTAGGATTGCTGCAAACCCTGGGGAATCCTCTTCAATGCGGATGCGGAACTTAAATGATTGGAAATTCTGAACGGTTTTAGGAAAGGTCTCAGGACTTAGAGGTTATGTTCGTTTTTGGAGCTTGTCAGCCCTAGTGAATAAACTCTTTCTTGGGTTTAAGCAGGAGCCCTGGTGGCGTACCGGTCTACACACTGAGCTGCTAAGCACAAGGTCAGCTGTTCGAACCCACCAACTGCTCCTTAGGAGAAAAATGAGGCTGTCTGCTCCTGTGAAGATTCAAAGTCTCAGGAACCCACAGGGGGAAGTTCTTCCCCGTCCTGTAGGGCCGCTTGATGCTCAGTGGCAGTGAGTGAGTAGGTTTAGCCTTGATGGACCACTTCCTTCAGACCTGGAGCTGGAAACCTAGCACTGAGTTTTTGTCCCACCCTCTGTATCTAGTGGGGTCAGAGAAGCTGGGTTAGGGATCCTAAGCCAGGGACCCTGGGACACTACCAGCAGGAACAGAAAAGGCAGCAATCCCCTGGTCACCCCAAGGTACCTGGCACAGTGCTGGGGGCAGAGGTTCCCGCACCTACAAGCTATTTCAGATTAGCGGTAATGAGAGTCCGACCATCCGCAATATTGATGAGAGTTGAGCAAGGGGAGCTCTCCCTCCCTCCTGTGAGAGGGTAGACCGATAGCACCCCTTAGGAGAACAACTTCACAGCAGCTCATAAACACGAAACGCTCATGGCACCCCATCCCTGGGGGCTTCCAAAAGTTGGTAGCAAAATGGAATTTTAAAAATGATCCTGGCTTTTTTCCCCTGAAGCCCCTCCTGGTATGCATCAAAGTAGAATGCCAATCGACGGAGTTCCAGTGGATTCCGACTCCTGGTCCCCCTGTAGGACAGCGTAGAACTGCACTGTGGGCTTCTGAAACTATGACTCTGAACAGCAATAGAGAGCCGCCTCTTTCTCCTGAAGAGTGGCTAGTGGTTTCGAACTGCTGACCTTGCATCACCACTACACCACCAGGGCTTCTAAGGCATTGCTGGGTAGACAAAAACCACCAAGCGTTCAGTTAGGAGTTGAGTATATTTACCCTTGGCGCCATAGGGCTGGCTCTCGGCACACAGTCTGTGCTAGTCAATGCACTGACTCAAGGAGACGTTGCTTTTAGGATGAGGTGTTTCAGGATTCAGACAAAGAGTGACTGGTATTACCACCCGTCTATACACCATCCAGCCTGGGAGAGGCAGCCATAGAATTATAATCCTCCCGCCACCCTCTCTAATCAAGTCCCTCCTCTGGCCTCAACCCCACACCTGCTAGCAGAGACTCTCATTTCATTATGCTTTCAGTAAATATCTGTGAATGTATAAAAAGAGATCATTTGGCCTTTGCGCACTTTGAACGTTACGGTGCAAATGACACTGCCTTGTATCCTTGTTGATACTGGTTACCGCCAGTTCATTGTTTTATCTGCTTTTCCATATTTCCATCGTGAGACTAAAACGTATAATGTACTAGAAATGTATCATTTATGCTTTTGAGGGCCATTTGAGGTGTTTCTTTTTGTTGGTTTTCTTTTTCCTGAGTTACAAATCTTGCCACAATAAGCATTCCGACCTGAGACCCCTCGTAGGCCCAAGCGTTTCTCTGACGCAGGCACGTAGGAGCGCCAGGCGCATGCGCGTATTTATTAGATGCTGGTCCGATGATGTTCTCCACAGGGGCCACACCCACCTGCTCTCTGGACCGGAAGTAAATGAGAATTCCCTTTGCTTAGCCTCCCCATCAATATTTTGAGTCTTCAGACAAATTGTTGAGCATCGGAAGTGTGTGCACTCGCGTCCCATGGCTTTCATCTGCATCTCTGTGATTTCTGGAGAAGCTTCCTTCATGCTGTGTTCTGTAAATTGTTGGTTCAGACCCGTTGCCTGTTTTTTTTAATATTGGGTCACTTGTGCTTTTGCTGCTCCTCCCCCTTTTTGGTCTTAGGTATTTGTTATATCTTCTGGATGTAAACCAAGAGTATAGTCTGCTAGTGCGTGACTTATTTTTTCCTAACTTCCTGATGCCTTTTATGGTCTTTCTTAAGAAGGCCTTCCAGACCCTGCGATCATAAAGACAGTCACTTAACAGTGTCAGAGCTTTGCCTTTGTCTTATGCTTCTTTGATCCACTTGGAATGTATTTTTGCACATGATGTGAAATAAGAGCTTTAACTGTATATTTTCCATAGATGTCGGTGTTGTTAGATGCCGTTGAGCTGATTTTCAAATCACAACCACCCAATAGGGTTTGTCATTCCCCTGGATTTCTCTATACAGGGTGGAGCTGCCCCCTAGGGTTTTCTTGGCTGTCATTTCTATGGAAGCCAAGCATCGAGTCTTTCTCTCAGGGAGCGGCCAGGTTGGTTTGAACCACCAACCTTTTGGTCATCAGCCAAGTGTTGATGCCTGACACTACCAGAGCTCCCCCCCTATCTATACATACCATGAATTGCCTCGCTGTCATTGTTATACCTCATCCTTTCTAAGTCCCAGTGCCTACACTTCCATGTATCAACGTGTTATTTGCGTCATCTAGATTTTCTATCAGTTTATTTATCTGTCCCTATGACAGTGTTAAAGAAGTCTTGGTGACATAGTAGGTTACGCATCGGGCTGCTATCCCATGAGCCAGGAGATCAAACCCACCAGCTGCTCCTTTGAAGAAAGTAGAGGCTTTCTGCTCCCGTCAAGAGGTATAGCTTTAGAAACCCACAGGGGCAGTGCTAGCTTGTCCTAGATCAGTTGGCTATAAGTTGGAATCAACGTGATGGTAGTGAGTGAGTTGATGGCAATAACAGAGGACCCTGGTGGTGTGGTGCAGTAAGCACTGAGCTGCATTGCAAGCCTTGGAATGAGGAACATTCTTACCTGAGACCCATTAGTGGCAAAAGGTTGGCAATCAAACCCACCAGCTGATGTGCAGGAAAAAGATGAGGCGTCTACAGCCACGGGAATGCCAGTGAGTAGTTCTACTCTGTCCTATAGGGGCGCCTTCGCTGCTACAGAGATAGTAACATCTGGGCTTTCTCAAAGCAAGGGCCCCTACCTGTGGTTCTTCCTAAATGTCTTTGTTCTTGTTGGCCATTGGCTCTTCTTTATAAATTTTATATTTATACCTTCTCTTGGAATTTTGATTATGACTTTTTGATTTGACTCAATTTGATTTTGCATCTATCACATGATGTGAGGAGAATCAGCATCTTTAAGATAGTGAGTCTTCCGATCTATGAATGTGGCATATTTTCCATTGATCTAAGTCTTGGCCAGCGGTTTTCAGTCTGACTTATGCGATTCTCCACGGAGGGTCTACCCATCTTCTATTAGATTTATTTCTAGGCAACTAATTTTAAAATAGGATGAATGAATTCTCTTTAAACACAAAGTTTAGTTATTTATTGTTGATGTAGATACACATCTCTACAGTAATCTTACTGAACTCTTGTTAGTTTTAGCAATTTTCAGATGCTCTAGCACAGTGGTTTCCAACCTGTGGGTCACGATCCCTTTGGGGGTCGAATGACCCTTTCACAGGGTCACCTGATTCATAACAGTAGCAAAATGACAGTGATGAAGTAAAAATGAAAATAATTTTATGGTTGGGGGGTCACCACAACCTGAGAAACTGTATTAAAGGGTAGCAGCACTAGGAAGTTTGAGAACCACTGCTCTAGGAAGATAGTCATATTGTCTACAAATAATGACAGTTTTGCTTCCTTATTTACAATCCTTATACATTTTATTTTCTTGCCATATTACAGTGGGTAGAATATAATGTTGAACAGCAATCATCCTTTCTTTGATTCTGATTTTTTTTATTAATCATATTATTAGGGGGCTCTTACAAATCTTATAACAATCCATCATTCAATTGTATTAAGCACACTTGTATATATATTGCCATCAAAATTTCCAAAACATTTTCTTCCTACTTGAGTACTTGATATCGGCTCCTCTTCGCCCCCCCTCTCTCCCCCACCCTCCCACCTCGTGAATCCTTGATCAATCATATATTACTATTGGTATTTTGTGTCTTCTCTCTCTTCACCCATCTTTCTGTTATTCGTTAATCACATTTCTGTGATTCGGATCTTTAAAGGGAATGCTTCCAAAGTTTCCCCATTGAGAACGAGGTTTGCCTCTGGTACTGGCAGATGCCCTACATCAGGTTAAGAAATGCCCTTGTATTTCCACTCTGCTCTTTACATGGAAGGATATTGAAATTATATCCCATACTTTTTATTTTTACCACATGCCTGGCCCCAGTCCACCTCTGTAAGGTAGGCAGGGGACATGTACGACACCAAGAAGCAAAACCCTGTTGGAGAAACTGATCCTCACACATAAATCATTTTGGTTAAACATGGCTTCGTATAAAGGAAGACACTGCACGGAGAAGGGGAGAGTGTAGGAGGGAGGAGGAGAAGGAGGAGACAGTGACCACACAACTATAGGTTTCACGGAGGGGCAGAACCTGAGTTGGGCCCAAAGGATTTTCAAAACGGAAGGAAAGGGGGCATTTGGAGAGGACAGAAGAGGTGAGCACAAGCCCCGGGCTGGAAACGTGCATGAGTGTGTGTTAGCCTGACAGCTGGCCGTCTGGTCCGAGAAGGGTCCTGCTTGCTCCTGCAGGCACCTGCACTGCACCCGGAACTACATCCACCTGAACCTGTTTGCCTCCTTCATCCTCCGCGCGCTGTCGGTCTTCATCAAGGACGCAGCCCTGAAGTGGATGTACAGCACAGCCGCCCAGCAGCACCAGTGGGACGGGCTCCTCTCCTACCAGGTGCGTACTCCTCTCCAAGATGGATAGCCAGGGGAGGCCTGCTTCCCCATCCCACCCTGCCCTGCGGCAAGAAGAAGTGAAATCCGCCCCGCTCTCAGAAAGCCCCCACCCTCCTCCGGTCTGATGGGAGGGGCAGCCCACCACGGGGAACACCCAATCTGCGCAAGGAGACAGGCTGACCCTCATGGAGCCCCTGTGTGAGGAAGGAGGCCCAGTCCTGAGTTTCAGGAGACCCCAGTCTCCTGATGGAAGAAGCATTCCCCCTTGGAGAACTCCCAGTCTTGGAAGAAAAACGCAACCCCATCTCCCAGCATCCTCCCTCTGACACCAGCTCTTTGGATCCAGATCGGGGTTGGAATGCCCAGCTCTGCCACTTACTCGCTGCGTTCTTTGGGGCAAGTCCATTCTCAGTTTTCTCCTCTGTGTGTGATCATCTGGGCTTCTTCCACTTGGGCTGGTGCGGAGTCAGGGTGCGAGAGCACCAGCCCTGGTGCATGATGCTACCTCCTTTGTCGGGCATTCACCCTGGACAGGATAACAGTTGGGGCAGGACAGGGTGGGGCTGGGGGTTGGGCAGGCCGGGTGTCAGACTGTTACCCCCTGCAGACCCCTGCTCTGCCCCCAGGACTCTGTGAGCTGCCGCCTGGTATTCCTGCTCATGCAGTACTGCGTGGCGGCCAACTACTACTGGCTCCTGGTGGAGGGCGTGTACCTGTACACACTGCTGGCCCTTTCTGTCTTCTCCGAGCAGCATGTCTTCAGGCTCTATCTGAGCATTGGCTGGGGTAAGGTCCACCCTCACCCTGACCCCCTTCTCACCCTGTTGCCATCAGGCAATCCCCAGGAGGCCCATGTGGGACACAGGATGGGTCTCGAGGCTAAGGGGCGGGACCCCCTGGGGTTGGCTTCGCCTATGCCTGGGGCCTATTGCCAGTGGGTCTGTTGAAGCCCTAGAGGGTCCCGGCCACCCTCTTCCTCGGTGGGAACAGACGCCTGCCTGTCCTCTGTGTGACCAAACACACCCGCCTTCACCCCCGCACGCCCCATTGGAGTGGCTTCAAATACGTGAGACCCTATGGGGATAGACCTCCACCTCCAGTCCCGGGTAGCTGTGGTCCTGAGGGAAATGGAGGTCCTGGGCCGCAGGGTGGAGGTCACTGGGGATGTCATGTGATGGCAAAAGGGAGAGTCGGGAAGAAGGCCATGATAGGGCAGGGGTGAGGAGGGCGACTGGAGGTCAACCACTGAAAGGATGGACCACGTACATGCCCAGAGCCCAGCTGGAAATGTTCTCGCCAAAAAAAGTTTGTGGAGAACCCTCATCTGTTTGGGCTTTGTTGTGTTTTTTTTGCTGGAACATTTCTGGTTGTGCTTCTGCCTCTCGCCACGTGGGATTCCATGAAGGGCACAGGGGGAAGAGGTGTGCAGGGGGCTGGAGCCTCCCTGCCACAAGCTGCCCAGAACCGGATGCGATCTGATGGCCCTTCCTCAGGAGGAGCCCACAGGTGGTAAACAAGAGGGGGCTCTCTGGTGCTCCACAATCTCCCACCATTTCCCCTGCTTCCTGCCCAGCCTCCCCAGCTCACACTCACCACTTCTTCCCCCTGCTCTGGCTGCCGTGACCCCTGCTGCCCGGAAGAAGCCTGCTCACCTCTCAGGTCAGCCCTCTACCCCAGGGACTTCTGCCCCGGTCAGGCAGGATGCCCCCATGGGTGCCCTGTCCACCTGCATGCTGACTCCTCCCTCTGCACCTTGGCATGCCTGGTCACGGGCCAGCTCACCTCTTCAGGAAGTACCCAGGGCACCTGCCCATGATGCTGTGCCCTCTCTGCCCATCTCACCTGGCATTCCGCTCCTATTTGCAGATGTTCCACAGCCAGTTGGCTCTGCCCTGCTCCAGTGTAGAAGAGAAGACCCGAGAGGCTGGCAGGTCCCAGAGCCCACAGAGAGGCAGAACCTTGCAGGTGCAGCAGGCACCAGAGCCTGGACCTCCTGGGTCCCGCTGCCCTCTTTTTCTGTGACGTTCTCTTGCTGGGACTCTGTCCCCTGGGGCCCCTGGGTCTCAGGCCCCCAGCAGGCAGCCATGGTCTCTGCACACAGCTCCAGCTCCCACCCTTGGCCCTGCTCCTGTTTCAAGGCTGTGTTTGCACGTGGCTGGGCTGTGCCTACATAATGGTTGGGTTTTTTTAATTCTTCCCGGTTTTCCTTTCGGCTGTCTCGGGAGATGCAGATGGTTCTAGTGGCCAAGGGCTGCCGTAGCACAAATGGCACACATTGGGTGTCTAGCAAACGGCACGTGAGCTGCTCGCGTTCGGAAGACTCGACGGCCGATTCAGGTCACCAGCTCTGGGGCGAGGCTTGCTCTCTGTCTGCTCTGCGGGCGTACCCTGGTCTCAGCGTCTCTCACACTCTTCCTTGCACCCTTTGGGGCTCTCCCATCCCACCCCTCTACCACGACCCCACCTCCATTCGTGCTCGCTGACCCTCAGGCTCATCTGCTCTCTCTGCATTCTTAAAGTGGTTTGATTTTAAGACCCCGCCTGCAAGGATATGGATTCAATCACATCACAAACCCTAGTCCCCCTAGGAATGTGGCACACACGGGGATGGGGTGGGCAGAAGGGGAGGCACACCATTCAATCCATTCAACGGATGGATGAACAGAGTTCACGGGTCTGCCCACCGCATGGGAGAAGCCCTTCATTCTGGAGCGTGGTCTGCGATAAAGGACAGCAGGGCCACTGGGGGTGCCCGAGAGGGAGGTGTCCATATGCGGACGGGGCTCAGGGAGGGGGTACTCTTGCCTTCTCTCATTGACTTGCTCTCATCACCAATTCACTTATTCCCTCATATTCCGCCCTCACTGAACATCAGCTGGGTGGCTGACCCCCACACCGGTGTGGGGCTGGAGCCTTTGGGGGTCATCCGGCCCCTCATCCCATCTCACGGCAGCCCCCTGACGAAAGCATTGTGGATGCTTCCAAGCCTGGCTCCTGTGGCAATGAGTGATGGAGGAGGGTGGTACCGGATGGACAGTGCCAGCCAGCAGGCTCGGCCTCCTCCCTCCCTGGGTCTATGTCATCAGGCCCCACACTGTCAGGCAGGTGGGGAGCTCAGCAGTCCCCACTGAACGCACACCCTTTCCTCTTTCGGACACCCACATCTGCAGCTCTGAGGGGCACCCACAGAGACAGTCCTGCGGAGAACCAGGAGCAAAAGCTATTTATCGAGGGTGGTTGGAATGGGCCAGGGCATTGCTACCCTGAGCTCAAATCCTATCTCAACCCTGATCCATTTCCATATCGGCCATGTGAGGGTGGGCGTGCCAGTGTTCAGCCTACAGACATACAAGGGTGAGTCCAAAAGTCTTGCCACTCCAGGTCCAGTCCCCCCAGGCATGAATTTATTCCCAACTAAATATATTCTGACAAGCCCCTGCCATCAGCGTGTGGCTGCGCCTTCCCCAAATCCAAATATCCGATGGAAACAGTGGCTTCTGAGGCGATTTGTGGGGCCAGTTAATTCAAGGCCGAGAGGTCAGCTCAGAGAGTGAGGGGGCTAGTGTGGGGAATTCCGAAGGAGTAATCTTGGTAGATTTTCTCAAAGGACACAGGGTGCTCATGGGAGCTGACGGGGAAGAAAATGTAAAGACCCAAATGTGGCATTGGGGATGGAAAGACTAGGGAAAGTGCGCCCAGGCATTGTCCCCCCTCCCCGTGACAGTGAACCTGCTTATTCTCCGCAGAGAGCCAGGGCTGCCCTATGAGAAGGTCGCCGGGGAACCTTACTCCATCCGCCCTGTAGTTTTGATCTTGCTCTTTCAGGCTTTTGTTCCTATTGTTGGTTCCCAAACTCAGAGAGCCTTTAAAAGGAACCGGATTTGGATCCCTCAAAGATGCCCCAACGGTCACTTTGACATGGTGTCGATCAAAGAGTGCAGAATGCCTTGAGGAAGGGTGATTTTGTTTAATAAAGGCATGTAGCGATCGATACTTTTTGACATCTCCTTGTATACTGCGCCCATTTGAGTACCCAGGCTCTGAAGATGACAGTAAGGCAGTGGTTCTCACCCTGTGGGTCGCGACCCCCTTGGGG